GGATTAATTTGTAGATGTCCATTATGACCAGTTGACTGATAATATTGAATTTAATTGTGTCCTCACTGATTTTCTTCCTGTTGGATATTTCCTTTTTTGAGGCTTCTCATATGCCTCATCATAAAAATCCAAGTTAAAACAAAGAAATGACACTACAAATCTACTCAAGTAGACAAAATCTAGAGTACTGATAATACCCAATGTTGGAAAGAATGTAGAGCAACAGACACTCTCATTCACTGCTAGTGGGAATGCAAAATGGTGCAGCCACATTGGAAGACAGTGGTTTCTTATAAAACTAAATACATTTGTATCATACAATCCAGTAATTGCATTCCTTGATATTTACCCAAAGGAGCTGAAAACTTTGTTCACAAAAAAATCTGCATGCAGATGTTTATAGTAGCTTCATTTATAATGCTAAAATCTGGATTCAATTAAGATGTCCTTCACTCAGTGAGTGTACAGATAAACTGTGGTATATCCAAACAATAGAATATTATTTAGCATTAGGGAAAAAAATGAGTTAGCAAACCATTAAAAGATATTGAGATGCTTTAAGGGCATATTATTAAGTGAAAGACACCAGTCTGAAAAGGCTACATGCTATATGATTCCTATTACATAACATTCAGAAAATAGCAAAACCATAAAAAAATAATGAAAAGATCAGTGGTTGCCATGAGTTAAGGAGGAAATAGAAATGACTATGTAGTACTCAAAGAATTGTGAAGGCAGCAAAATGCTGTGTATGATACTATAATGGTGGGTAAATATCATAATACAGTTACCCAATCCACAAAATGTCCAAACCCAGAAGTGAGTGTTAATGTAAACTCTGTATTTGGTTGGAGATGTTTCACTGTAGGTTCAATTATACCAATGTACCACTCTGGCAGTGTATGCTAATAGTGGGAGATGCTATGCAAGATAGGGGACAGGGGTATGTGGGAGATCCTTGTACCTTCTCCTCAATTTTCCTGTGCACCTAAAACTGTTCTGAATAGTACAGTGTAATTTAAAATCATTAAGTGAATTGTTATGTTACATTAGAAAATACTCACTATCATGCAAAGAGACCAGTAAAGGAGGAATAAGGGAACAAAGACACAGGGATGAGTAGCATCCTTAAGTGCAACCTGGTTCTGGGATGCTCAGGATTAGGTCATAGAACTAAGAGTTCTGATACCCTGTGTAGTTCATTGATCTGAAAGAGACTGATGTCAAAAAGCTGGGATTTATAGTATAGAACTTCTAACTTCCATTACATAGAGCTTCAAAATAAATAATTCTGTGGTTCAAAGTTTCCAGTTTTAATTTGGGAAGACCAGGTTGTTGTTTATTTTTAATATTATTATATTGTCAATATTATATCTTTCAGAACTAAATTGATTACAATATTTTTAGTATCTCTGGTAATTATGTTTGTTATATCAAATCCTATCTGGAGCCCTGGCTGGCGTAGCTCAGTGGATTGAGCTCAGGCTGCAAACCAAAGTGTCGCAGGTTCAATTCCCAGTCAGGGCACATGCATGGGTTGCAGGCCATGACACCCAGTAACCACACATTGATGTTTCTCTCTCTCTCTCTCTCTCTCCCTCCCTCTCTAAAAATAAATAAATAAAACTTTTAAAAAATCCTATCTGGAAAATATATAAGCAGAATAACAATATAATGTACATCGATAGTACATTGAGGTGAAGTTATTTACCACTTTTTCTTGTATACATAATACACATGGAAACAGGTGAGAACAGCTAATTGCCATTTCCAGCCTGACACACCTGAGAAAAACACCTGTGAATAGTTTCATTGGTGTGATACAAACCAGATAGGCCTAAATTACAAGCAACATTGGAAATGTCCATTACAGACAGACTCCCCTGGCATTCGACCCCAAAATAGTAAGACTTAGGTTAACAAAGGTGAAAATGCCCGAAATAAGATTCACGGATTTCACAGATTACTCAAAATTAATCCTAAATTCTATCAACCTTTTGAATAATTAACTTAATCTCTCTGAAACTTCACCCAATACACATATCTAAAATAAGATGAAAACACAATTATGTTTTGGAAATCACACTACTACTAGTTTTAAACCTAGATAATGATGATGTTACTTGAACTACATTCTCTACATTCATTTTCCGATAAAAATTCAAAACAAATCTTGAGTAAAGTTTAGAAGTATTATATCTAATGCTTCCTTTTGATATATCAAGTTTGTCAGTACCATAAAAAATTAAGTTACATTCACAGGAATTATTCTTCACCTTGGTATGTTTATTTATAGGAGTCATAGTATTTCAGCTGAAAGGGACTTTAAAGATCATCTAGCAAAATTGTCATTCGTCCTCAAGAAGGGTAAATTATTTCTAAAACCATATAAATGTAAGCATAACATATTTATGTTTGTTAAAATAATGTTTCTTTGGACTTATTTAATTTCATCACAGATTTTCAAGGGCAATAAACAGTTTCCACCATTATCTTTAAAGATATTTTCCAAAAAGAACTTGAACCTAGCATTAGTCTCCTAAGCTGTGTCAATACCTTCTGATCTCTTTCATGCTAAATTTAAATATGTTACATTGATATTTTAGAGTGAGACAAATATTTATCATTTGTAATGAAATACATTAAAAGCATACCATTATTCCCCTTTTGTGAATTTTGTATTCTTTTGATTAACATAATTCAAAATGTCTCTGATTATGGTTTCTTTCCTCCTTTTAAATCACCTTAAAAATATTAATGTCAGCCCTGGCTGGCATAGCTCAGTGGATTGAATGCAGGCTGCGAACCAAAGCATTGCAGGTTCAATTCCCAGTCAGGGCACATTCCTGGGTTGCAGGCCATGGACCCCAGCAACAGCACATTGATGTTTCTCTCTCTCTCTCTCTTTCTCCCTCCCTTCCCTCTCTAAAAATAAATAAATAAAATCTTTAAATTTTTAAAAAATATTAATGTCTTAGCATATTGGCAAGGCTGAGATACTACTTTCTTATACAAAAATGTCTTAAAAAGAAAGCATGGACCAAGGTATGAAATCTCTGATACAAATTGGGGAAACCAGAATGAAGCCAAAACATTCACATTGAAAAAAAAACTGTTTTTTTATAATACAGATGTTGAATTCAAAAGTACTCAGTTCTCAATATTTTACAAGTCAGTTTACTACTTGCCTTCTATATGTACTATTGTCTAAATAAATGAATAAAATGGCATTTATATCTCATCAGCAAAGTTTTATGAAAAAAATGCAAAATGACCAATATTCAATTTTTAAAAGCAAAAGAAAGGTATATATTTCACTAAACAAGGGCTAGACACTGTATTTTAAAAAATGATAAATACTGCTGAAGGGGAAGGGTCAAGTCAAGGAAAATGTATAAAGGACCCATGGACAAAGCTAATGGGGGAGGATTGAAAGTGGAGGGTGGGGAGTGGGTAGGGCAGGGTAGAATAATGGGGGAGAATGAGGACAACTAATTAAATAACTAAAAATAAAGGTAAAAATAATAAAACACAAAATAAAAATAAAAATATATAAACAACAACACTATTGAAATTTGGAACAAATTCAGAAAAGGATTTAGAGTCTCACCAAATTGAATTGGTTGATTAAGGAATCTCAGTTTCTGAAGCACAAACCTTAACTATGATGATATTTCCTTTTTCCAATAAAAGAAACCTCTGTTCACACTATGCTGACCCTCACCATTCTATTATAGAATGACTCTCTCACAGGACATTTCTTCAGATACAAGAATTTCTCCATCACATGTTTATTATTAGAACAGTGGCATCATGGGACTTACAATTCAAATTCATTTTTTAGAACTTCAATTTTATACTTAATTCAGAATGTTCACCTGCCCCATGATCCATAGTCCTCACTACAATTATGGCTCTGGAGGCTTGAGGTGGAAGTGTTTCTTTCAAGCACTTCCTCTCTGTTATAATGTTAGTACTGGGTCACCCTGTGTGTGACTACAAAGCTCTCCCTTGTTGGGGGCTTACTCCTGTGGAGCAGAGTGATTCCTTACCAAAGGAAGTCTGGGCTCTGACCCAACTATAATTGTTCCTCTTAGACTGGTATCTTAGTCAGATAACAGATACCATAGAGGGGTGGCAAAAACAACAAATAACTTTCTCACAGTTTGGGAGGCTGTGAAGTCCAAGATCAAGGAACCTGGTTTAGTGACAGCTGCCAGATTGCTGTGTTTTCACAAGGCCAAGAGAAAGATATCACCTCTCAGGTCTCTTCTTATAAGGGCACTAATCCCATTCATGAAGGCTCCATTTTCAGAGCTAAATTCCCTCCCAAAGGTCCCACCCCCAAATAGCATCATGTTGAGGATTAAGGGTTCAACATCTGAACTTTGTGGGACAAAAACAATCATTCTATAGCATTTGGCATCTCTTATTTGGTGGGCTCTCCCAGGCAGAAAAATAGAAAAATTGTACAGAAGGACACAATGTCACCTGCACTTGTGAAAATGTAACCCAGGAAATGCACACATCATTGCCATATCATGCTGGATATCAGAAATGTGCAGCTACCATGCACCTTGACCTTACCTATTCTCTATCATTGTATTTCCACTGATAACATATAGCACAGGTACAAAGAAGCTACTTGTTGCTTAAGTGGGTGTTCAACCAGGAGAACAGGAAACAATGACCCTGATACCTTGTTGCATTCATCTTTTTTCAGTTTTGTCCCCACACTGACTGTTGGGATGGGACAAGCGTAGGCCTATGGCGGGACAGCAGGATGTGCAAATAAGGACAGTGGGAAGATCACTCTCCAAGCCAACTAAGAATGATTTTATAAAAACCGGTAATAATATAAATGCTTGATTCAAAGATAACATTAAATGAACTGAACACTCATGAAAAAAAACAGTGTATAAAACATTAAAACTATGAAAAAACTACAAATTCCAACAGTATAATATTATGCAAAAATTACCAAATTGCATTAAACTCACCATGACCTGGAGGAAATCTTTTCCATTTAACAAGAAGAACTAGCTCATATATGGATAAAGTAGGCCATTCCTCATAATATGGACACTTACGAATTAATTTCACTATTTGTTTATTTTCAAGTTTTGTTTTTTCCTAGAAAAAAGTCATTATCAAACTTTATATTAGGTAATTTAAAGAGAAGAAAAAAGATAGCAGATAAATGTCAGTAAAAGAAAAATAAAGGTTACATGATATAAAAATACAATGAAATACTTTTGATTTTATAGGAGCATCATTCTATGACCAAATAACCATAATGAAATTTTAATTTTCAGATGCACTACTAAAACTTTATTTTTCCACATTTCATAATAATTTAGATGCTGTGCTTTTGCATGTTTGGAAAGCAACTCTGATGTAGTCAAGACTAAACACAAAAGTTCAATTGATAGTATTAAATTAGTAATAATATTGTAAACATAAAAACAAAGCATACAAAGAAGATTGTTTTTAAAGCCAGCCACTCTGAAACCAGGAATTTGGAAGGAAGTTGAACTTTGAGAAAGTTATCAGTGTCACCAATGCTAAAACCATCTTATTGAAAGAAACCCCGACTCTTAGAGAACCAAATCAAGAAGGTGGGCATCCCTCCCATTTCCTTTCTACATGAGCACCCAGCCATGGTTTAGCCATTACCATGCACAACATGACTGGTCATTGAGACAAACTTCCTCTGCCAGCCAGGCAGGGAGAGTTAGGAGAGGGGACAAATTTGCATTTGACTAAAAGAGAATAAATTGTGAAACTTGAAATAAAAAAGTTAAAGCAGCAGAATTAGGGGATAGAATTAAGTAGTGATCACCTAGTTGTGCAGCCCTGAGTTACACTATGAAACAATGTGCCAGTCACACCCAAGTTAATTTTTTCTAAGGTAGACTGCAGAGATGTAGAGGTCTGTCTCCCTGGTTGTCCTGGTATTCCTAACATATAGCATGATGTTGACACCACAAAATATATATTTGTTGAATGAATAAATAAATTCTGAATTCATAAAAAAACAAAGTCATCAAAAATATACATAAAATACTATATACATAAAACCTGGTTTTATACTTAAATTACCCATCGCTATAAGAGGTTTAAGTGACAGTCATAAAATAAACATTTTTTATGTTGTGTAGGCCAAGTCAAATTAAAAATAAGAGAGATATGAATATGTGTCCAAAGCGGCAAAAGTTCTATTGAATTTACTACCATATCGTCTTCATATACAGATTAGATTTGATCATACCAATTTTAACTTGGCATAATTCTTTGCAGGGATCTTAAGAATTTCACAATCTTCTTCTGTCACCACTGAGTACTCCTTCAGTTCTGACTGAACCTGAGCTGTAACTTCCAGGGTTCCAAAGGTGCTCCATGGTCTAAGCTATCAAAAACAAAAAAAACAAACAAACAAACAAACAAAAAAAAAACAAAAACAAAGTCAACTTAAACTTCATTATCACATATCAACATTAAAATACCAATGATGGTGATAACAGCAATGTAGAAAAGTCTGCAAGTCTGTGAAGGAAAGGGGTCTGAGCAGCCTCATATGGATGTCCTGCTTTCTCCATCAATGTCACACACCAAAGCAAGAAAACATTTCCATTTTTTTACTACAGTAGGAAAACAACTTAGGATATTATTCTGTGCTTTTGTTAAACATTAAGCTTTTAAAATACAATCATATTAATGTAATCCATTCATTTTTCATTTTTGTATGACTACACTTAAATTGCAATTCATTTTTGTTGATAAACATTTGTGTTTTTATTGGTATTTGATATAAAACAATGATAATATGAGCATTAGCGTACAAGTCTCTTCATTTCATACATAACTATATCCATAAAATATATGACTAAGTATAATTTCTATGTTACAGAATGTGTTTGCACTTTAACATCTGTTTAACTACTTTCCATCTGATGCAAGTTCTAGCTAGCACCCTCTTTTCTGAAGCATAATGGACCCAGAGTCTGTTTCTGCACAAATATTCCAACATTTCATATTGTCTAATTTTTAATATTTTCCAATTTGGTAGTAATATTATTGATTGAGCTTTTTATTTATTTGCATTTACTTTTAAATGTAAAAATTATTACCTGCATATTTCCCAGGTTGCTAGTGGTAGAGCGCTTTTGCCTTTTCCAATTACCTAATGCATAGTTTGTGTTCTATAAAAGGTTGACTGTGGTGGGGCAGGGCAGGGGAGAGCAAAGGGGATAAAAAGTGGGACAAGATTCTGCCCAAAATGGAGGTGTAGGTAGATACGCTTCACCTCCTTGTACCAAAAGAAGGAAACAAGCAATTAAAAAAAATTCAGAACTATAAGAAAATTGAACTGTATAGAAGTCTGATAACCAAGGACTTAAAAAAGAAACATTCATCCATACTGGTAGAAGGGGCAGAGATGGGTAGTCTGGGCAATGGAGAGGACATGTGACAAGGCTGTTGTTTCAGGACTGGGCAGTTGCACATTCACATTAGATACACTGGGAGGAACAATGAGGAACTAGGCAGACTTCACAATCCAGGGTTCCAAAATGTGGAAAATAAAGCCTCAGAACCTGTGGCTGTATAAGCCTGTGGGGGTTCTGCATGGGAGAAAATGTCAGTCTCTTCAAAGCTGGTCAAGAGCCCAGCAAGTGGCATTGTTCCCTCTTCCACCTCTCTCTGACATACAGCACCACAATGCAGTGAATTGTGTTGCCCTGGCCTGGAAAATACCTAAGGCTCCACTCCTGACAATGTAACAGGTGTGCTGAGACAAAGAAAAGCAGCCCAAATGAAAGAACAGATCAAAACTCCACAAAAATAACTAAGTGATGAGAAGACAGCCAACCAATCAGATGTAGAGTTCAAAACACTGGCAATCAAGATGCTCACAGAAATTATTGAGTATGGTCACAAAATAAAGGAAGAAGTAAAGGCTATACAAAGTGAAATAAAGAAAAATATACAGGTAACCAACAATGAAGGGAAGGGAACTGGGACTCAAATCAACAACATGAAACAGCAAGGAGAACAAACATTCAACTGGAACAGAATGAAGAAATAAGAACTCAAAAAATTGAGGAGAGGTTTAGGAACCTCTGGGACAACTTTAAACATTTCAATATCCGAATCATAGGGGTACAAGAAGAAGAGGAAGAGCAAGAAATCAAAAACTTATTTTAAAAAATAATGAAAGATAACACCCCCAATCTGGTGAAGAAAATAGACATACAACTCCAGCAAGCTCAGAGAGTCCCATACAAGGTGGACCAGAGTAACACACTAAAACATATAATTAAATTGCCAAAAACTGAAGATAATGAGAGAATCTTAAAAGCAGCAAGAGAAAAGAATTAAAAGAATTACCTATGAAGGTGTTCTCATAAAGCTATCAGCTGATTCTGCAGAGAAACCTTACAGGAAAGAAGGGACTGGAAAGAAGTATTCAAAATCATGAAAAGCAAGAACTCACATACAAGATTACTCTATCCAGCAAAGCTATCATTTAGAATGGAAGGGCAGATAAAATGCTCCCTTGATAAGGTAAAATCATCATCATAAAGTCCTTATCATATGAAATGTTAAAGGGACTTATCTAAGAATAAGGAGATCAAAAGTGCGAACAGTAAAATAACAGTAAACTCACAACCAACAACAACTGAACCTAAAAAAAAGCTAAGCAAACAACAAAAAGGGTAACAGAATCACTGAAATGGAGACTACATGAAAGAGATCATCAGGGTTGGAAACAGGAAGAACAAGAGAAAAGGTACTGAGAATAAGAAGTATAAATGTTAGGTAGAAAATAGGGGGAAGTTAAGAATAGTGTAAAAAATGGAGAAGCCAAAGAACATATATATATATATATGAATATATATATTCTTATATGTATATATGTATATATCCCATGGACATGAACTTAGGAGAGGAAATGCTGGAGGGAATAGGGGTGTTAGGTGGAAGGGGATAAAGGAGATAAAAAGAATGGGACAACTGTAATAGCATAATCAAAAACATACTTTTAAAAATTTAATACCTGTAATTGAAGAATAAAAAATGAAAAAAAAAAGGTTGACATATGTTTAGTGTCTTTTAGATTTTCTTTTAGATTTTCAGGTCATTATGTGTCCCAGACAGTAATCCTTTGCCATCTTTTTGTATTAAAAATATCTCCACCTGAGGACTTACAGCCAAGATGAAAGCATAGGTAGACACACTGTGCCTCCTCGCACAACCAAAATAAGAATAATAATAATTTAGAAACAAAATAACAATTAGAATTGACAGAAAATTGAACTGTATGGAAATAAAATAGACACATTCATCCAGATGCGTAAGAGGGACACAGTCAGACAGCTGGGTGGAGAGGGGTCACAGCACAAAAAGTGGTGGCACCAAGCTCACCAGGCACCCAGGGTGTGCCAGGCACCCAGGGCACACAAGACAGCAACCAGTGGACCCTTGGTGTGCAGGCGGCAGATGGCAGACCATGGACACGGGGTGGCAATGGCAATGGGCAGACCCAGTGAGGCAGCGATTGTGAAAGGAGGCATAGCAGCAAGGCAGCTGGCTGACCAGGCAGTCCCACACTCATGCATAGATAAACCAGGTGAAACTGAGCAGTAAGACAGACCATGCAACCCAGGGCCCCAGTGCCAGGAAATAAAGCCTCAAATCACCAACTGAAAACATCTGTGAGGGTTGAGGCACAGGGAGAGACTCCCAGCCTCACAGGAGAGTTCATTGGATAGACTTACAGGGTTCTAGAATGTACACAAGCCCACCCACACAGGAATCAGCACCAGCAAGGCCCAGTTTGCTTGGCAGAAATGGTGGAAGGGACTGAAAGCCAACAGAGAGCAGAGCAAGCACCATTGTTCCCTCTCAAATCCCGCCCTCACATACAATGTCACAACCCAGTGACTGGGTTGCCCCACCCTGGTGAACACCTAAGACTCCACCCTTCATAAGTAACAGGTGCATCAAGACAAAAAAAAATATGGTCCAAACAGCAGGACAGATCAAAACTCCACAGCAAATACAACTAAGCAACCAAGAGGTAGCCAACCTATCAGATGCACAGTTCAAAGCACTGGTGATCAGGATGCTCACGGAATTGGTTGATTTTGGCTGCAAGTTAGATGAAAAAATGAAGGCTACACTAAGTGAAATGAAGGAAAATGCACAGGGAACCAATAGCAATAGGAAGAAAACTGGGACTCAAATCAATGGAGTGGACCAGAAGGAAGAAAGAAACAACCAAACAGAAAAAAAAAAATGAAGGAATAAGAATTTAAAAAAAAATGAGGAGAGACTTAGGAACCTCCAGGACATCTTTAAAGGTTCCAACATTTGAATTATAGGGGTACCAGAAGGGGAAGAGGAAGAGCAACAAGTGGAAAAGTTATTCAAACAAATAATAAAGGAGAACTTCCCCAATCTGGCAAAGGAAATAGACTTCCAGAAAGTCCAGGAAGCTCAGAGAGTCCCAATGAAGTTGGACCCAAGGAGGGACACACCAAGGCACATCATAATTACATTAGCCAAGATTAAAATGAAGGATAGAATTCTAGAAGCAGCAAAAGATAAGAAGACAGTAACCTACAAAGGAGTTCCCATCAGACTGTCAGCTGATTTCTCAAAAGAGATCTTGCAGGCAAGAAGGGGCTGGAAAGAAGTATTCAAAATCATGAGAAGCAAGAACTCACATCCAAGATTATTCTATCCAGCAAAGCTTTCATTTAGAATGGAAGGGCAGATAAAGTGCTTCTCAGATAAGGTCAAGTTAAAAGAGCTCATCATCACCAAGCCCTTACTTTATGAAATATTAAAGGGGCTTATCTAAGAAAAAGATTAAAAAAACATGTATAGTAATATGACAGCAAACTCACAATTATTAACAACTATACCTAAAACAAAACCAAAACAAACTAAGCAAACAACTAGAAGAGGAACAGAACCACAGAAATGGAGATCACATGGAGGTTTAGCAACAGGGGAGTGGGGGGAGGAGAGAGTGGGAAAAGGTACAGAGAATAAGTAGCATAGATGGTAGGTAGGAAATAGAGGGAAGGCAAGAGTAGTATGGGAAATGTAGAAGCTAAAGAACTTATGACATATGGACATGAACTAAAGCGGGGAATGTGGGTGGGAGAGGGTGTGAAGGGTGGAGGGGAGTGAAGGGGGGAATAGGACAACTATAATAGCATAATCAATAAATTATACTAAAAAAATCTTCACCCAAGCTGTGCCTGTGTTTTCATTACTTATGGTATCATGGAATGAGCAAAAGGTCCTTGAATTTAAACAAATATCTTTATAGTTTTCTTCTATAATTATCCAATTTTACAATCTTTTGCTATCATAATATTGTGAAGAAATTCTGCC